GAGAGAGAGAGAGAGAGAGAGAGAGAGGAAAATAAGACTAGATCAGCCAAAAAGGTTCATTAACTCTTTTAGATGAAATGACTAAGGGCCTTCTGTCCACTTGATTGAGGGCCTTCAAACTTTCTAATCGAGGACTTTTGATCAACCTATCAAGATCAATTGGTCGATTTGGCTGATGTCAGTCGATCAACTCATGAGAGTCCCTAGGTCTCTAAACTTTGTTCAACCGATTCTCTTGGTGCGATTATTAGCCGTTGGCCTCTTAAGTGAGATTCAAGTCGCCAAGTTGATATTAAGCTGTTAGATAGATGACACTTTATCACAATCCGACATATAACAGTAAAGCCATTTGGGAGATCTATGTGGGTGTCGTGTTGGAGACTTGAGTAGTCTTGGCTAGCCTTAAAGTTTTCTCTATGATGACTCGTGGTGTTATTTTGGAAACTCTGCAGGTCACTTTTCTTGGTTGGGTACGTCCTGATCTGTATCCTGAGGGGTTTTCGTTCGACAGGCTTTATATACATTTTTAGGAGGGCGTGGTTAGACATTGGATCATATAAGCTCACGTTGATGTCACCTTTGACTTTTGGTGGACCATCTTTGACCATGCTTGTTCTTTAGCTCATAAGACCCTTTGAGATTCGTGCTGAAGTATTTTGGGCGTCTCCTATGTATGAAAATAGATATTTTATTTTTAAAAGCAATAATAATATTATTTTTAATATGATAATAAAGAATTCAGTGTTATGAATATAAATATATATGAAGTATGCGCTGTGTAAAAGTCCCTACTGAATATCTCGAATTTAAGTGGTGAATATTTCGAAACCATTTGCAGCATCCTGCTCAAGTAACAAAAAAGCACCAAAACGCCAATTGTCAGTGCCTTCGACCCGACCATTTTTATAATATTAAAAAATCATCTTTCCCCCGTAAAGCAGTACCCGGCGGTCCAAAGTCTTGCGACAATCACAATGGAGAAATCAAGCGCTCTGTTACTCTCCTTCCTCTTCTTGGCTTCGCCGTTGCTGTCAGTCTCAGGGGAAAGGGAACTCACGGCAGCAGCTCCCGCACGAGGCGTGTTGAATTCCAAGGCAGCCGTCTACATCGTTACCTTGAATCCAGTAGACGGGCTGGATGAAGAATCCTTGCACGTTGAAACCCTTTCTTCCATTCTCGGGAGGTAGTTCTTTTTCTTTGATCGAGTAGAATCATCCTTTTTTGCTAGGGTTAGCTTTGGGTAACGTTGATTTCTCTCTGTTTGCTTTTTGGCAGTGCCGAGGCGGCTAAGAAGGCGCTAATCTATAGTTACAAGCACGTTGTACATGGTTTCGCCGCTAGGCTAATTCCTGAACAAGCTGCAGAGTTGACTAGTATGCTTCATCTTTTGTTCATTGTTTGCCCATGGGAAACCTATTTATGAATTTATTTGCTCCTAAAGATTTTTCTACCTTTTTAGTTAGCTTTGCTAATTAAGTTGATGGATTAAATTCTGGATTGTTATTACAAGCATAATTTAGTTACTACTAACACGGGCTGATCAATTCTATTTTGGTTTCGATAAGCACAA